ATAACTGAATCCTAGTTTAATTACAAGTTTCTAACCGATTTCTTGGGTTTTAGGAAACTCAAAGATTTACGAAAATAGCGAAGAAGTCTGAATAGAAGATGATCACTTCCAAACCCTATATATATGTAAGTATTATTTGTTCATTCAGATCATTTGCCCTCTCTCACAAATCAAATTGTAAGAATATAAAGTGCAGTATAGTCCTTATTGTAGCTTCAATTCAATTGAGAGGATCGATCATGGCGGTGAAGTTGATATTCTCGCGGCTTCCAGGCGGAGGCTACGTTCAGCTGCGGGGCGGCTATTCCAATTTGGACCTCCTCGCCGCCGTCTGCGTCGCTGATTCGGATATGGAACAAAACCGCCTTCACAATGTTTCTTCTTCATCATCGCCTAAATCAGTGATCCCGAGGAACAAGAGGAGCAGCCGTCGTAGGATCAGTGACTCCGCCTTGAAATGTGTCGTCTCCGCCTTCAAAAGGTTGTCAGTCGGCAACAAGAAGAAAAGGACGGCCAGGAAAATCAGGAAGCGGGTTCACCCGCAGCCGGCGGCTGGTGAGGCTGGGCCCATGCCGGGGAGATTCAGGGACGGGATCCGACAATTGGCTGGGCCCGGCGCGGAAATAGCGGAGGAGAATCTGCTGATAGAAAAGGAGATAACGGAAAGCGACTTGAGGCGCAACCAAGGCCGGCTGACCCTCCCGGTGAAAAGCATGAGACTGACGGCGTTCCTGACGGCGGAGGAGGAGATGCGGCTGGCCACGCGCCAGAACAAGAAGGTGGGCTCACTCGATGACGTGGCACTGATCGCGGCCATCGGTGGTAAAATCGTAAAGAGTGAAGTGAGCCTGCGGAGATGGGAGATGCGGAAGAAGAGCGGGAAAGCCAGCGTGTCATTCATCCTCGCCCGCACGTGGAACCAACTTCAGAAAAGTCTCGGTTTGACGGTAGGGAGCAAAGTTCAAATCTGGTCCGTCCGAGTTGACGGCAGATTATGGTTGTCCCTCGTACAACTCTGACACAATTCCGCTAATTCACTCTGTTCATGAAAAAACAAAACATTAGCGCACTGCTTTTTCAATTTTCTGGAGTAGTGTGTACTTAATACTCCGTAATTAGATGATTAAAGTAGCTAGAGTACGATTTTGACATTTCTTTAATTTCGGTCCTTATTTGTTCTGTTCTGAACTTGTGATAAGTACATTTATATTGTTTTATTGTCCTTAGCCCCTGGCGACTTGGCCAGCAGATATTTTCGATCTCTTTGCTTTAGTTAATTGCTGATAATGTTAAATATGTACTTAAAATATTACATATATGAATGAATACTTACATTTGGTAGTCTTAATTTCGAGAACATATTACTCACATAGACTAATATTTTGTGTAGAAATTGTAAATAATGTAGCCAATACAAGAAGATTCGAATGGCTGGTGAAATGCAAACGATTTATCATTAATTTTAGAGCCACTAGTCTTCTTTTTGGTCAAACTATCAATTTCGTCCTCATACTATCACGAAAACATCAATTAGGTCCTTATACTTTAAAAATCAATCAAATCTCCGAACGTTGAAAAAATGTTTAATTGAGTCAATTAGCAGGTTATATGTCATGTCAGCGGGTCACTTGCTGACGTGGCGCACACGTGACAACCCAGCTAGCAGTGACTTTGCTGATGTGGCGCACACAGGGATTACCAGTCTGACTTTTCTCGATGATTGGGTGCACGTGTGGACTGTCACGTCAGCGGGTGACATGCTGACATGACAGATAACCTGTTAATTGGCTCAATTGAACGTTTTTTAAAGATCGAGGATTTGATTGATTTTTTTTAAATCAATTGAATGTTTTTTTAAAGTTCGGGGATTTGATTGATTTTTTTAAAATATGAAGACCTAATTGACGTTTTTGTGATAGTATGAGGATCAAATTGAGAGTTTTCCCTTTCTTTTTTTTTACTTCCGGTCTAGCTCATTATATCATACTTTTACCAACTCTAAAAATGCGTGACATAGTTATTATTACAACGTCCGAAATTAAGGCGTAGGTCTTAAAAGTTCAAGGCATCAGCCAGACGCATACCTCAAGGATCTGTTTGATTTGGGGTAATCTCACATGAAGGCCAGAATGTGATGCACATAATGTCAAATGCCCATATTTGGTTTCCGGGAATGTAATATGGAAGGGAATATTATAACCCTCCATACCTTAGGTTATCCTACATTCCCGGAGATGGTCTAATGTTCTTCCGAAAATATCCTCAATTAATTATCTCTTTTCATTTAATTTCTTTATATAGTGTGATTTTATAAAACTTTTAATATAGTTTCTAAATATGTAAATATGTAGTATTATTTACTAAAAATAATCTTATTATTGAAAGAGATCAGTTAATTTTATGGTCAGTTGATTTTAAATTGTGTGACAACCTTTTAAGTGGGACAGATGAAGTATGTTTATTTAATTATATTTGAATGTCTATTCTTGTTATTTTCATAATTCTTTTTTCCTTAACATTTAAATTTTTGAAGGTATTTATTTTATAAGACTTATAGATTAATTAAGTTTTTGATGAGTGATTTCAAAAGTTAATGGCAAAATTGATCATTTTTTCTTTAATTTGAAAAGAAGTTTTATTAATAACTTGAACATTTTTAAATTTAATTTTTTTGAAATAATAATAAATATACGTAGTATTTAGATTACTATTTGAACAAAGTTTTTTTCACTTTTGAATTGGATCTACAACTTTTTACAATTAAACGTAGTTTACTTAAAAATAATTCAATTAGGTTTGATTTTATTTATTATTAAGATATTTCATTTTTCTTTAATTTTAATTACTCTAGATGTAGGTTGTAATAGATTTATTGTGTTAATTAAGATAAAATATTGAAAGGGCATTAAAGTAATTCACCATATCTGCAATATAAGATATCTTTCAACCAAGTAAATTAATATCACATTCTCTTAATCATAACCAAACACAAATGGGAATAAATTGAATACATTCTCATCAATCTAACATACTCATCAATCTGACATTCCCGTGGTGATTTGACATTCCCTGAACCAAATGACTCCCAAAGGCGCAATGAAATGTGGCCCATATATTTTACAAGGCCATAAGCTGTAACAATAGATGCACCGCTGTATGAAAGCTGAACAATCAAGCTCATAATTGTCGCACGCTTTTGAGAAACAAAAATTCATTGTGTACACGTTCTTATACACATCAGTACATCTCTGTATCTATGTGAAGTTTTTTCTGTCTCTGAATCCCAGTTCACAGACAAAACCAGCTAATTTTGTCTGTGAAAAAATCTACAAACAAAACAAGCCAATTTTTATCTGTTGATTGGAATTCACAGACAAAATAAAAACTCTCACATACACAGAGATGTACTTATGTATACAAGAACGTGTACAAAAAGAATTTTTCTTTGAAAAGTGAATCATCCTTGGCAAACCGGTGTGGGAAAATGTTGACTTAAAATAGAACAACAAAACCGGTGTGGGAAAATGTTGACTTAAAATAGAACAACAAAAACATACATACTGACTACTGATCACAATACTTGTTGGCTAGCCACCTAGGTGCAATTCCATCTCACACAAACTAATAGCACTACAACGTTACTTTAGAACATGATTACGCTAACATTAATTTTACTATTATTATATTAGTATTATTATATTACTACAACTTTTTTATTCTTATTATCACTTCTATCATTGTCATAATTTTTCTAAAAATATTACTAACATTAAACAAAGACAAAAAATGTGACTATCATTACACTTTTATAATCACTCTAATTGCAAAATTTGAACATAATTATAGTAGTTTAAATAATTACGTCACGCTTTATCCATTATTCGTGTTTGGTCATATATATATTACTACCTCCGTTCCCATTTTAACTTCCAAATGGATTTGGCACAAAGTTTAAGATAGTGGATATTGTGTGGTGGAGAGTTGTGCAGAGGAGAGAGAAATGTGTAAGAAATGTTGTGAACCACAAATTCTTTACCAAAAAGGGAAAGTGGAAATTTTAATTGAAACGGACGAAAAAGGAAAGTTGGAAGTTTATTTAGGAACGGAGGGAGTAGGTATTATTATTATTATCATTATGATTATTATTACTATTATAATAATAATTATTATTATTATCATTACTATTATTATTATTGTTATTATTATTTCTTGGGTTTTTTACAAGTATATTACTAAAATAAAACATATTTACATAAATATGACTATTCATTACTACAATGTGATGTTGTGGTAACTTAAGCTCAAAACTTGAATATGAATTACTATGATTTCATTACTACTCTAGTCATTAGTCATATTTTTGTAAATCATCTTTATTTTGGTCATATTTATGTAATTATTTCTTATTTATTATTATGCTTGTTGTTTCATTATCCAGTTAATTATCTAGTTTCATTTTTCGTAGCAATATTTGTATAATTTGTTAAATTAAAATGGCTAAACTATCCCTCATATAGCATTTCCCAGCGCCGCAACTTCCCATTCATCCGCACCTTTCCAGGACCTAAAGGTTCTCTCCATCGCCGCTCTACCTCACCATCTGTACAGGTAGCCGTTCTGTATCACCGTCTAGGTCTTCGCCTCGCTGTCCAGATCTCCACCTCGCCGTTAGAATCTCCGCCTCACCATCAAACTTGCGGTTCAACCACCACCATCCCAATCGTACTCGAGCAGATCGGCCAATAATACAGTAACTTATATGTAAAAATAGTTAAAATGATTATCTACAGTTACTTCAGTCAATACAAGCAGAAAAGTAATGTCAAACTTACTTTTTCTTATTATTATTACACAATTCAGCTCGCGAAAACAAATGTTACATGTTTTGTGAAAAAGTTAGCGGATAAGTCTGATAAGTAGAAAAAAGATGTTTTCAAGGGGCCTGTTGATTTCAAACGTTGTAAACAGCCGACTGAAGAATTATCATACTTGGCCACAAAGCAAGGAGTCCATCTGCACAAAATCGAGCAGTTTGGAGTTGGGAGATTCCGAATCGAGTGTAATAAATTAAATAACTAGTTTCCGAATTAATTCCTAGTTTAATTACGAATTCATAAGTATATAATTCCTTGATCACAAAGCAAGTAGTCCATCGGCAGAAATCAGTTGGGATTTGGGAGATTCCAAATCCTGGTGTAATCTGAGTAACTAGTTTCTAATTAATTTCTTTCGTTTTTGGAAACTAAAAATTGAAGATGATCATTGCCAATCTCTATATATATGTAAGTATTGTTTCTTCATTCAGATCATTTGCCCTCTCTCACAAATCAAATTGTAAGAATACAAAGTGCAGTATAGTAGCTCCAATTCAATTGAGAGTATCGATCATGGCGGTGAAGTTGATATTCTCGCGGCTTCCAGGCGGAGGCTACGCTCAGCTGCGGGGCGGCTATTCCAATTTGGACCTCCTCGCCGCCGTCTGCGTCGCTGATTCCGAGATGGAACAAAACCACCTTAACAACAATTCTTCTTCTTCATCGCCTAATTCGGTGATTCCCAGGAATAAGAGGAGCAGCCGCCGTAGAACCAGTGATTCCGTCTTGAAATGTGTCGTCTCCGCCTTCAAAAGGTTGTCAATCGGAGGAGGACCCGGCAATCAGAAGAAAAGGACGGCCATGAAAATCATGAACCGGGTCGGCGCCGATGATAACCGGCAGCCGGCGGCGGGGGAGTTGACGGCAGATTGTGTTTGTCCCTCGTACAGCTCCCTCCTATGCGACAAACACTTGGAATGATTCACTCTGGTCGACGATGAAAAAACATTAGCGTAGTGCTTTTTCATTTTTCTGGAATTAGTATGAATTCAATATAATTAAAGTAGCTGGATTTTGACATTCATTTTTGGATGATGTTTTCATTCTTTTAGTATTGTTCCGTATTTGTTATGTTATGAAATTGAAGTTGATAGTAATTAACAGTTTAACACGTACAATTGTTGTTTCATTTTTAAATTGATAAAGCATCTATCTGTTAATTGCCTTTATAAGTTAATTGCTGATAATAGCAAATATGTTCTTCACATACTCCTTCCTGTTCTTATTAAAGTTCTCACTTTCCTTTTTGGGATGTCCCTTATTTAAGTTCACACTTCCATTTTAGGAAACAAAACAGTGCAAAACAGTGTCACACAGTGCCAAACAGTGTCAAACAGTGCACTCCACAGTAAAGTCAAATTCATTTTCTTAATATGTGTGAAGTCAAACTGGGAACTTAAATAAGAACCGGAGGGAGTATATGAGTACTTGCATTCGGTAGTACGGAGTCTTTCATTATTTTGCTGAGGTCTGGACCATCCAATGACTAAGTATGACCATTTGTTTATATACAGGTATCGGATACTGTGCCATCAAATTTGAACTAAGCGGGGATCTGAACATCAGCCATTTGCTCAACTAAAATATCCTTCTCTAGCAATTCTAAAAAAAAACTTCTATTGGAATTGTCTTTGTCGATTCATATTCTAGGAGTTTTCAATTTATAATTAATCACGTAGTAATTTAACAACAATACTCTTGCTAAACTCAACACATGCTTCTAGAATGCAACATTTTGGCGGGAACTTGCTCAACAAAGATTTCATTTGCTATTATATATTATTACTCCCTCCGTCCCCCTAATATCGGTATTGAAGGTAGTGATGCGATTTTTAAGAAAGTAGAATTATGTAGTTGATAATAAGTTTATAAAGGGGGAATAAGGGAAGAATGAATAGGAGTCATACAAATGTTACCAAATATGGTATGGAACAATAACAGGGGTCATCCAAAAATGAACAAATAGGACAATTATAGGGAGATAGTGTGAGTAATAGATTATGCATATATAGGACTAAAAGTCAATCAGTTTGAACAAATAGGACCAGAAAATAAAAATATGTTTCATAAGACTAATTATGTGTGTCTTGGATAAATATACTCTTGTAGCTATTGAAATGTGTTAACTCATAATAAAATAATAAAAAATAATAAAAATTCATAAAAAAATATTACAAAAATATTAAAAATATTTAAATAATAATAATTTTAAAAAAAAATAAAAAAACAACACAAAATCACCGCCTCCTCTGCTGCCCCAGCACACCACCTACGGTCACCGAGGAAAAAAATGCAACATGCATTAGTAATGTCATATTTTATTGCATTTTCATAAAAAATACATTTTTTAGAAAAAATGGCATTTTTTACACCAATGAGGTGGTGTTGCAGGGAGACAGTACATGTGGTGGAAAAGGCATCCATATTTTTGCTTTATTTTTTTATGAATTTTTATTATTAGTTATGAATTTTCAATTTTTTTAAAAAAAGTATGTTTTTATTTTATATGATTTCTATTATTTTTTACAAATTTATTATGAATTAAAACATTTTGATAGAGTATATCTAGAGAGAAGTGAGAGCTAGAGAGAGAAGTGCAATAATATGCTTCAATAGAATGATTTTGTAACCCCCATAACTACTCCCAAAGGGAGTATTTATAGAGAATATTAGGGCTGGGCTCCCAAATCTTGGGCTTGGGAGGCCCATTTACAACTGGACCGCTACTGGGCCGAATACAAAGCCACTAATGGGCTGTACAAATGAGTAAGTATAAAATCTGATTCTGGGAGGTCTTCTTGGCCGACGAGGGCACGGCCGACGAGGGCACGGCCGACGAGGGCATGGCCGACGAGGGTACTCGGGTTCCTTGGACTCAGGACCATAATCCGAGTTGGCCCCTTTTCGGCCGACGGGGGCGTCTTGGCCGACGAGGGCGCCACTCTGTTGTCTTGTGCTTTCTGTTCTCCCGAGTATGTGGGTCCGGGGGCTCAGACCCATATACTCCATCAGGAGTCCCCCACTCTCTAAGCTGAGACGTAGACGAAGTGAAGGAGAGTAGATTCATGTGCTTTGTTGCCCTTGGCCGTTACCTGTTCCTCGTTGTGGACAGGGAGGCCGTTGTTTACTTGATGTCTTCGTTTTGGGACGATGAGTGTCCTTCTTTCAATGGTGGCCGTTGAAGGCATGTTTTGCTTGGGCGCTGATGAGGCCACTGAAGTTGGTCCTTGCTTCGAGGACGATGGCGTCTTTCCCTTTGGATGGCCGATGAGGGTGTTTGCGCACTCCTTTTGGCCGTCGTTGATTAGCTTTCATGTTTCTGGCCGAAGAGCCCCTCGTGATTAAGTGATGGCGGAGGACGATGAGTGTCCTTGCCTTTGGTGGCCCGTTGGCCGTTGCAGATGACGTTGTGTGCCTTCGGTCGACGAGGTGCAGTGTGATGCGTGGCCGGTGTGGCCATGCTCTGTGGTTACCTTGTTTGCATTTTCTTTCGTTTTGTTGAGGCCAGTGTAGTCCCCCAGTCCCCCCACTGCTTCAGGTCGAGGAGTGTGAGGGGTGAAGGAGTTGCTTGAGTCCCTGGCCGAAGCGGCCTCCCCGTAGTCCCCCTGAATCCAACTCTCATGGCGATTTTCTGGCCAAGGTAACCCTGTGGGAGAACCCTTGTGCGCAGATCGCTTGTAGAGAGTTATCATCAAAGATCATGACGAGGAGTCGATGGCCTTTGGGCTCTTGGGTCCTGTGATCTTGTGGCCGTTACGTTCCTGGCCGTTTCCGTCTCCTTATTGTTTGGCAGTTGTGATCTTGGCGAGCAAGTGGGACGTTGTGGGCGCTTGCTGACATTTTGTAAAGCCAGTGAGCGTGTGTAGGCCGTACAGTCCGTCCTGCCAGTGGGCTGTTGATATTGAGTTTGGCCCGTGGTGACGTGGTGGCCCCCCATTGGTGGCCGTTGGTGTGGCCATTGGGGGGGGTGCCACGTGTAGTGACCGTTGGGTGGGGGGTTCTATAAATACCCCTCCCCCTCCGACGAGAAAACGTATTTGCATTCTGAATTTGTCGAAGTGCTGGCCGATTTTCTAGAGAGATAAACTCCCAAGCCTGTTCTTCGCGTTCTTCGTTGTTCAAGGTTAGTGTTCATCGCGATCTTCCTCACTTTTCATACTTTGCTTCCTAGGTTGTTGATCTAGTGTTAGGCGTTTGAACACCCTTAGATCTTAAGTTAGTCTCCTTAGGCCCGTAGTAGTAGTTATGAAGAGCTTGAACGAAGACTACTACCCCTACGACGACCAGCCCTCCACGAGGTCGCTTGACTACGAGGTGCTCGAGGAGTTTGAAGAGGAGATAGAGCGTTTAAGTCCCTACAAATCCGGAGAGCCGGTGGACGAGGAAGGCGAGGACGAGGAGTCCGCCTCCTCTTCAAAGGGTGAGGACGTAGGTGCGTCCCGAGTGGTGGACGGGGCGTCCACTTCTGCTGTCGTTCCGTGCCCGAGGCCGGTGTCTGCCGTGAAGGGAGAAGCTAAGCCGAAGAGGGTGAGGAGGCCGAAGAATGGGCCGGGCCTCTCCTATCTGGACCTCACCAACATATTCCTGATCAAGCCGGAGAGCAGTGCGGCCGACTATCTTGTCGCCCAGATGTACGTGGGGCCGTTCGGGCGGGTTAGGGCACCCAGGCCGACGGACCATGTCCTACTTCCGCCACTGGGATACTTTGGAGTATACCCGATGAGTTTTGCTAAGGGGTTGAGGTTCCCCTTCACCCTTTCATCATTGAGTATCTGGACATGGTGGGGCTTCCTCCGGCCTTGCTGACGCCGAACAGTTATTCCTTGATGGTGGGCTTTTTACTTCGGTGTGAGGAGCTGGGCTACAGGCCGACAACGGCCTTATTCATGAATTTGTACCAGATCGGCCGAGGAAGCCACAAGAACTGTGCGGCCTATGCTACTCTTCAACAGCTGCCGAAGAAGAGGAGCTTCACGGATTTGCCTACGTCCATTCATGGGTGGAAGAGCAAGTTCGTGTTTGTGTCCATTGGTGAGAGTGGCACCGAGTTCCCCTCTCTCGGCCATACCGGGAGGTTCAATCTCCATGACCCGCCGAAGAGCTCTATCTTGGACGCTCAGGTGGAGGCTTTCCTGGAAGGGGGGCCGAGGAGCGTGAAGGATTACGTTACTGAATACAAGATGACCGCCCTCGGCTTCTTCAGATACCACCTGTATGGAGATAAGGAGGATGACCTCCAACTCTGGCCGAGGATGACCACCACATTTGAAGAGGCCGACGGCCCGGATTTGGGCATCCCTGCTGAGGCCGATGGTAATTATCTCTTCGGCTTTCTGTTTTTATGTTTTGTTCCTTTGCCTTACTAATCTGTTTGTGTTTTTCCTTTGTAGATTTTGCCATGGACCGACGTTCCATAATGGCTATTGCCAAGGCCAAAGCGGCCGAGGAGTTGGCTGCTAAGGCGGCCGAGGCGGCCAGACGTGCCGCGGCCGATGGGAGCGGGGCTAGTACTGGTGTGGCCCCAAAGCCTGCCCCATCGAAGAAGAAAAGGCCGGCCACTGACGGCCAGAAAACATTAACTGAAGCCGGTCTGAACGTCTCCAAGAAGACGAAGAGGGCACCTTCCCCTTCTCCGGCTACCGGGGCCGGTACTCTGACTGTCCCCAGCGTGGACGATGGTGGTCCCGTCGTGGACCTTACTGCTGCTGACGATGCTGCCCCATCGCTTCCTCTCGTCCAGGAACCACGGACGAAGAGGGCCGGCAAGGAGATTGCCGGTACCACCTACCAGAAGATGGTAGAATACCCCGTCGGCGGGGGCGTGTTTGATGATGTCGTCCCTGGCCACGTCGTCCTGGCCCAGGCCATGCCGGCCAAAGATCGGGCTTACTTGAAGAAGCTCGGGGACGTGAAGATTTACGAGGGCGGCATGGACCTCCTCGTCCAAGTGAGTTACTTTCCTTATGTTTTGTCTTTCTCATCGTCTGTGTAGAGTCATTTGCCTGACCTTTGTTTTCCTTCTGCAGAGTGCCTTTATGCTTATG